CGGGGCTGGCCCGCGCTGCTCCGGGGAGCCGGCCCCGCCCCGCCCTGCAGGCCGGCCCCGCGCGCTGCAGGGAGGGCCCAGCCTGCGTCTACACTGGTGCATCTCGCACCGCCCCGCTTCTTGGGGCGGACCCTGACGGCCAGGCTGTGTCCAGACGGGCCGCTTGTTCCGCAAAATCAGCCACTTTTGCAGAAAAACTGGCCAGCTGGCTACACCCCTTGAATGTCCACAAAGCACTGACCATCTCCTGTAAGAAACCAGCGCTTCCTGTGGAAACACCGGGCTGCTCCCGCTCGGGAAAAAGGCCTTTTGCGTAGAAGGGCCAGTGCAGACAGCTCAGATTTGTTTTGCACAAAAAAGCCCCAATTGCAAAAATGGCGATTAGGTCTTTTTTGCGCAAAAGCGCGTCTAGATTGGCCACAGACACTTTTCTGCAAAAAGTGCTTTTGCGGAAAAGCATCCGTACCAATCTAGACGCTCTTTTCCAAAAATGCTTTTAACAGAAGACTTTTCCGTTAAAAGCATTTCCGGAAAATCATGCCAGTATAGACGTAGCCCTACTGTGTGAGATCAGGGCTTCTTAGAATCATAGAATAATAGGACTGGAAGGGACCTCAAGAGGTCATTGAGTCCAGCCCCCCGCCCTCAAGGCAGGACCAAGCTCCGTCTACACCATCCCTGACAGATGTCTATCTAACCTGTTCTTAAATATCTCCAGAGAGGGAGATTCCACCACCTCTCTTGCGCCAGGACGCTGACGCGCCCACTCAGGAAGAAGCCCTTGTGCAACTGTTCTTGCACAAGAGGCCAGTGTAGACAGGCAACATGAATTTCTTACGCAAGAGAGCATCTACACTGGCAAGGATGCTCCTGCGCAAAGGAGTTCCTGCACAAAATCATGCCACTGTAGACTACTAGGCTGCATCTAGACTGGCATGATTTTCCAGAAACGCTTTCAACGGAAAAGTTTTCCGTTAAAAGCATTTTCGGAACAGAGCGTCTAGATTGGCACAGACGCTTCTCCACACTTTTTGCGGAAAAGCGTCTGTGCCAATCCAGACACGCTTTTCCTCAAAAAAGCCCCGATGGTCATTTTCGCGATTGGGGCTTTTTTGCAGAAAACAAATCTGAGCTGTCTACGCTGGCCCGTTTGCTCAAGAGCTGTGCACAAAAGAGACTTGTGCCTGAACGGGAGCAGAATAGTATTTCTGCAAGAAGCACTGATTTCTTACAGTAGGAAGTCAGTGCTTTTGCGGAAATTCAAGTAGCCAGTGTAGACAGCTGGCAAGTTTTTCCGGAAAAGTGGCTGATTTTCCGGAAAAACTGGCCAGTCTCAACCCAGCATCCTCTTTTCGCAACCTTTTTTAATCAAGTACCTTTTTAAAATAGATACATGTACCCCCAATACCTACACTATGTCTACACTAGCAGCTTCTTGCACAATTGTAGGAATGCAATAACGGACATGGACACTGATTCACATCATCCTTTGGACTGGTTTGCAGGGCTGTTACGTGTTTCTCCCCCACCTTAATGTGACACACAAGACCATCACAGCTTCTTTTGAAAGGCTGTTCTAGAACCTCGCCCCTCTGTTTAGAAGTCAGAGTTCTAGCCATGAAGAAATTCAGGCTAGTTTGCACTGATGGGTTCTTCTGCCAACATTACTGTCACTGAGTAGACTCACCAGCATGGCGCCTTCTGCTGGTTGTTTTGTTGGGCACCTTCCTCCAGCCGGTCTCTCCCCGTGTTCTTCTTTAACCACGGCATCCTCTTCAGGACACGGCCCTCCGGCAGTGCCCCCTCCAGTCTCTCTGCACCCCCTTCCGGGGCAGGGAGGATGTTTACTCCAGGGTCCTCCCTTCTCCCAGGGACACCCAGTTCCCCTGTACCCACCTTGCCCCAGTGGCCCACTGCCAGTCTCCATCTAACCCCTGCCTCAGGGGCAAGCAGCAGTCTGGAATGGCCACTCATCACTGGCAAAGGGGTGTGGACCTGCTGCCCCTGCCCACCATGCCTCCCACAGCCCCAGTAGCTTCAGGCCTTGCAGCCTGGGGCTTGCTTGGCCAGAGTTTCCCCAGCCCTGCTCCACCTCCAGGAAACCTCCCACTTCCCTGACAGTCAGGTCCCTACTGCTCTCCAGCCAGAGCACTAATCAGTCCTCCTGGCCCTCCGGGAGTCCTTTATACAGGCCCCAGCTGGGCCCTCCTTAGCAGAGCTGCCTCAGCTGGGGCTTCGCTCTCAGCCCTCACTCAGGGCTGGGGTTTTGCCCTTCAAGGGCCAGTGCAGGGCAAATGCCCTGTCACAATTACCCTTTAGCTTAAATACCTCTGCAAGCTCCCCTCTTCTCCCCTCTTAGCTAGACTGAATGCACCCCAAGCTCTTCCAAGCTGATCCTGGAAATCAGGGTAGTCTGGCATGATGTGCCATTGGCAAACCCATGTTGTATTGTGTCACATTACTGAGTTGGAGGGAAGCAGACAGATCACTGCTGCACCCCTAGGTGGGGGTGTTGGCCTCAGAAATTGGTGTGGGGGGAGCCATGTGGGGTATTGAACGGGAGCTTATTGTTTGTTGATCTTATGTACACTATTTATGTGAGTATATAATGTCTATGTGTGTAGGTAGGAATCTGTAATCTGTGTGGAAGCTGAATATTTCTGTGAATGTGGTTAAGCATGGCTATGGACAGGCTGAGTAGCAAAGCCCTGTGGAACAATGACTCTCAATAGGCTATGGACACACCCAAAGAATGGGATTTGTCACCTGAGGGCAGCCAGCAGGGAACATAGAGATTGGCCTCTGACCAGGTGACTTGCTGCATACAAGAAGAGGCCAGGAAGGAGTATAAAGAGGCCATGTGGTCGATGCCATTTTGTTCTCAGCTCAGCACTTCATCCCAGAGGCAGCACTGCAGGGATTGAAGAGCCCGGAAGACCTGTGAACCCATCCTGATCGTAGGATGTGCAATAAGAACTTTTAAACCAGCAGCTGCAACATCTCTGCTAGAGCCTGCATCGAGGACTGGGAGATTCGGTGCATGTAACGTACTGTACTTTAATAACCTTACTCTCAGGCTTTTCTTTCTTGTAATAATAAACCTTTAGATATAGATTCTAAAGGATTGGCCCAGCGTCATTTGTGGGTAAGGTCCAGAGGGTAAATTGACCAGGGATCTGTGGCTGGTTTCTTGGAACCGGACAGAACTTGTTCGGGGTAGGTGGGATTGGGTGCTAGGACCCCCCACCTGTGTATAGGCCCGGGGCCATCTGGGGCACGGATATTGCTGGGGTGTCGGAGGGGTTTTGCTCGGGAGGCTTCAGGCAGGTTGCCGAAGCGCTCTGTGGGACTGGTTTGTGGCCTGTTTGGAGAGGTCACCAGTCAAGGGGGACTGTAAGAAGCCCCGGATTTGAGCAATTCGCCCTGAGCGGATGCCCTCAGCTGTGCCCAGACACGGCCTGGTCCGTCACATATTGTACCCCGACACCTTTCCTGATTTTACCCACTGGGGTTCCTCCGGGAATCAGCTGTCTGCCGGGAGGGAGGGGAGGAGCAGGTCAACACAACACACACAACTGAGCACACACATAGCCGAAGGGTTATACCATCATTGACAGAGCAGGAGACCTGTCAGGGCACCGCACCGGTGACCCCTGACTGCTACAGCCATCGTAGACAGTCTTTGGAATGGAGACCCACCTCCGTGCCGTGCCGGGAGGGGTACCCCTTCCCTGTTCAGATGAGGAAGGCTTCACAGAGAGCTGCTGGGGATTGCCCCAGAGCACTAAAGGGGGAGGCAAACGTAGTGCCTGCTGAGATCCTTTTAGAAGACGACTTTGCAGAACTCGTCCAGTCTTGTTGTCCTGGGTCAGAGGCCGGCCTCATGGCCTCGTCGAAGAGAAACATTTTAAGCAAGCATCGCGACTGAGTATCCATCGTTAAGAGGAATAATACGTAAACCCACGGGATTTCTGGTCACCTGCAAGGCTCAATACGCCACAGAAACAAGGGCAAGTCATGCAGCCAAGCCCTAGAGAAACCCTGCCCTACCTGCTAATACCCAGCAAACTACACGAAAGGCCGCTATGGAAAACCCCTTTACTGGATGGCAAGAGCCCCAGACATTGCTCTCGACCTCTATGGCTGAAAGGCAC